ATTACCTTAGGGGTGAAGCTGACCTTTGGTGGAAGCAAAATGAGGCTACCATTAAGGGATTACCTAAATTTAATTGGACTATGTTTCAGGAGAAGATTAGGGACAAGTTTTACCTTAGCTTCTTACAGAAACAAAAGGCTAAGGAATTTTCTAATCTTGCTATGGGGAATATGTCGGTCACTGAATACTACACCAAGTTTATTGAGCTGTCACGATTTGCTATGGAGTTTGTTTCTACAGAAAAGTCTAGGGCTAGGAAGTTTAAGAGTGGTCTAACTACTGATTTGCAGTTAAAGCTGTGTAGTCAAGTATTTAAAACCTTGGATGAAGTGTATGGGAGAGCTGCACACCTATATGCTTTAGAATTAAAGAAAAGGAAAAATCTAGTTGAGGTAGAAGGGAAAGAAAAGTGAAAAGAGGTAGGACAGAATTCTAGATACCTGCAAGGTAACCAGAACAACTTTGAGAAGCAAAAGTACCACCATAATAACAACAACTTCCACAACAACAATAATTTCCAAGGCCACAATCGCTAAGGTGGACGAAACTTAAATGGTGGAGCTAGGAACTCTAACCAGGGAAATAACAGGAGAGCAAGGCATTTCTATTGCAAGAGGTGTAAGAACGACCACCCAGAAAAGGATTCTGATGGGAATTTGGTTACCTATCGTGCGTGCAACAAGCTAGAACACATGCAGTTGAATGTTTCTCCAAGGACCCCAATAAAAACAGGCAGGGAAATAATCAAGGTGGGGCTCAAAGGAACTTTCTGGGGAGTAACAACTATTTTGGGAACAAGGGAGCACAACAGAATGCGGCGAAAACCAACAATAATAATAGGAACAACCAACAGAAAGGTGGAGCAGCAGAAAAGTTGAATGTTATGAGTAGGCATGAGGCTGATTCCACGAAAGATGTCATCACTGGTACTTTTTCTATTAACTCTATTCCTGTTAAAGTTTTGTTTGATTCTGGTGCAACTTTTTCTTTCATTTCAAAGGCCATTATTTCAAAGTTACCAAACTATTTGAAAACCGTGGATGAGGTAGATTTGCCTATAGTTATTCCTATAGGCGGGGTAGTAAAGTGTAACAAGATCTTTAAAGATGTACCTTTAGAAATCGAAGGAAAAGTGTTTTTGTCCGATCTCATTGAGTTTGGATTGAGTGACTTCGATCGATGTCATTTTGGGAATGGATTGGTTGAGCAAGTACAGTGCAGAGATTAATTGTAGATCACAAAAAGTAAAAATGACTACGACTGATAATGAGTCGGTGACATATTGGATGCATGGTGAAACTAAGTGCCCAAGGATCATATCTTTGTTAAAATTGGCAAAGTATATTAAGAAGGGACATCCAGTGTATTTTTGTAGTGTGAGGAATATGGAGCATGAGGAGACAACTAAGCCTGAGGAGATAGAAGTAGTGAATGAGTTTCTGGATGTGTTTCCAGAAGATATTCCTGGAATGCCACCCAAAAGGGAAATTGATTTCACAATAGAGCTAGTTCCAGGAACAACACCAATTTCTAAGGCACCATATCGAATGGCCCCTGCAGAGATGAGTGGGTTGAAGGAGCAATTGCAGGATTTATTAGAAAAGGGTTATATAAGACCAAATGCATCACCTTAGGGAGCGCCAGTGTTATTTGTAAGGAAGAAGGATGGAAGTATGAGGTTGTGTATTGATTATAGGGAGTTAAATAAGGTCACCATAAAGAACAAGTACCCATTACCAAGGATTGATGACCTATTTGACCAATTGAGAGGCACGACTGTGTTTTCTAAGATTGATTTAAGGTCAGGATACCATCAACTTAGGATTGCAGATGAAGATATTCCCAAGACTGCATTTAGAACAAGATATGGACATTATGAGTTTACAGTAATGCAGACGAATGCTCAAGCAATTTTTATGGACTTGATTAATAGGGTGTTTCATCCATTTACGGACAAGTTTGTGGTAGTGCTCATAGATGATATTCTGGTGTATTCGAAGAGTAAAGAAGAACATGTAGAACATTTAAGGGCAATTCTGCAAACACTAAGGGAAAACAAACTTTATGCAAAGTTCTCTAAGTGTGAGTTTTGTTGGAGAAAGTGGCATTTCTGGGTCATTTTGTGTCCAAAGATGGGGTAGAAGTAGATCCAACAAAGATTGAGGCTGTGAAAGGTTGGCCTACGCCAAAAACGGTGTCTGACGTTAGGAGTTTCTTAGGTTTAGCAGGGTATTATAGACGTTTTGTGAAAGATTTTTCGAAAATTGCTAAACCTATGACCTCTCTAATGAAGAAGGACAAGAAGTTTGAACGGGATGACAAGTGTGAGGAAGCATTCCAAATCTTGAAACAAAAGCTAATCACAGCGCTAGTGCTTACACTGCCAAACGATAGTGGTTTATGATGTATATAGTGACGCATCCAAGAGTGGTCTAGGATGTGTACTTATGCAAAATGGGAAGGTGATTGCGTATGCATCAAGACAGTTAAAGACTCATGAAGTAAATTACTCTACTCATGACTTAGAACTAGCTGCAATCATTTTTGCGCTAAAGATTTGGAGGCATTACTTGTATGGAGTGAAATGTAGGATTTACACTGACCATAAGAGTTTGAAATAAATTTTCACTGAAAGGGATTTAAACTCACGCCAAAGGAGATGGTTAGAGTATACGACAGATTATGACTTAGACATACAATATCATGAGGGGAAAGCAAATAAGTCGCAGATGCTCTAAGCCGTAAAACCAGTCACAAACTAAACACTTTGATAGTGGCCGATGAGTTATGTAGAGAAATGAGGAAAATGAATCTAGAAGTGGTAGAATGGGGAGTGCCAGGAGGCATACTTGCAAATCTAAGTATTCAACCAAAAATATTTGATAAGATAAGGGAAAATCAAGCAAGAGATGTAAATTTGGATAGGATTCGTGAGAAAATAAAGCAAGGAAAAGCTACAGATTTCAAAATTCATGAAGATGGGAGTTTAAGGTACAAGGATCGTTGGTGTGTACCACAAAAATGTAAGGAGGTAAAGAGAAAGTTGATGGAAGAGGGTCACAATACACTATATTCAGTACACCCAGGAGGGGACAAGCTATATAAAGATTTGAAAAAGATATATTGGTGGCCCAGAATGAAGAATAAGGTTGCAGAATTTGTGTCAAAGTGTCTAACTTGTCAGAAAGTGAAGATAGAACACAAAAGACCGCAAGGAACTATGCAATCATCGGAAATTCCTGGATGGAAATGGGATTGTATTTCAATGGACTTTGTAACTTGCCTCCCAAAGTTAAAGAGTGGAAACGACACCATTTGGGTAGTGGTGGATAGACTTACAAAATCTGCGGTGTTTATACCAATGAAGGAGACTTGGAAAATGGAACAACTTGCAAAAGCTTACATAAAAAATGTGGTGAGGTTACATGGAGTTCCAAAAGATATTGTGTCTAATAGATATTCTAGGTTTCTTTCAAGGTTCTGGAAGAGTGTACAGGAAAACTTTGGTACAACACTTAAGATGAGTACAGCTTTTCACCTTGCCTCAGATGGGCAAACAGAGAGAACTATTCAAACCTTGGAAGACATGTTGAGGGCTTGTGTTATAGATTTCCAAGGAGGATGGGAAGATAGCTTGGACTTAATTGAATTTTCCTATAATAATAGTTACCATCCAAGCATTGGCATGTCTCTATTTGAGGCATTATATGGAAGGATGTGCCGCAGTCCAATCTGTTGGAACGACATAAGTGAAACAATGATTTTAGGGCCTCAAATGATTGAGGATACAGTTAAAAAGGTGAGGGAGATTCAAGCTAAGATTCAAACGGCGCAAGATCGCCAAAAGAGCTACGCAGATTTGAAGTGTAGAGAGGAGGAATTTGAGGTCGGTGACAAAGTATGTTAAAGGTGTCACCAATGAAAGGTGTAATGAGATTTGGAAAGAAAGGGAAGCTTAGCCCAAAGTATATTGGTCCATATGAAGTATTGCAAAGGATAGGCAAAGTAGCTTATAGGTTGATCTTACCTATGGAGCTAAGTAAAGTGCATGATATATTTCATGTATCTCAGTTAAGAAGGTATATCCCTGATAAGTCACATGTGCTACAACCTGAAGCTATTGAGTTTAATTAAAGCTTAACTTATGAGGAAAGATCTATCAAGATCCTTGACAGTATAGTGCGTAGTACACGCAATAAGGAAGTTAAGATTGTTAAAGTGCTATGGTCTAATCAAGAGTATGAGGAAGCAACTTGGGAAGCTGAGGATGAGATGAAAAAGAAATATCCTGAGTTGTTTAAGGTATGGTGAGTTACGGGGACGTAACTCGTTTCCTTTAAGGGGGGTAGAATGCGATAGAATTTCGCGCTTTTTCCCTATATTTTCAGTTATTTTTGTGCTTTTTGCACATTTTTAACAGTTAGTTCGAGTAATTTTGATATCAAAGAGATGTTAAAGGCAAAAGTATGACAAAAGAGTACAGCAATATTATGCACTACTACATTTTTTATCTAATCCAACGGCAAATTTCGTTGTATTAGGTGTTAAAAACCATTGTATTAGACCTAATCCAACGCCTGTATACCGTTACATCAGCTGGCATTGTATTAGGCCTAATACAACGGCTTATTGCATCTAATACAAAGGCAGCCAATATGCCGTTGTATTAGCTTGATACCTAATCCAACGGCATTTTGGCTGCCGTTGTATTAGATGAATATGCAACAAAATCATGATCTATAGACCTAATCCAACGGCAAGGCTAATGCAACGGTATTTTCCACCTACTACAACGATATATGTCACCTAATACAATGGTATATGTCACATAATACAATGGTATATGTCACCTAATACAACGATATATTTTCACCTAATGCAACAGTTGTACATGAAATATACTACGTATTATATTTTTTTGAGGGAATACATATATATTTTGTTAGTTAGTTTAAATTTAAAAGGTAACAATAAATATAAAATATATCAATATATTTATAACAATAAACGAAGTATATATAATATGTACGTTACATTACAAAATATTGTTTCCATATATATGTTACACTATCGATACTAACTAATAATAAATAATAAAAGTTTACTAATTAAAATTCTTCCAAAATACAAATCCTAATCTTCACAAGCTCGAACTAAATAAAATTAGTCACCGACGTGTACGCTCCATTTGTTGGATGACAATATATAATCATTGTACTTCATTCATCTCCATCTAGCTCGCCATGCACCTACATGTAAAAATAAAAGAAATTAATACTTGAATATAACGATACAAATAAGGTACTGTAAATATCATGTTGTCATTAATAAGCATAGCTAGATACAAATAACAGACATGCAAGATGCAACACCAAATTTCACCACACCTTGATAAAGTATTATGGCCATATGTTTGGTGATCAATCAATTTTGTTTATATAGGTCATTGGTAACAAATCAAAACTCTGATTAAGAGGAAATATAATAGCCTAAATGAAATTAACATTAACCAATTAACCCATTGGCATCAACAAACCGAAATGTTGACAAGAGAAAAAGATCGGCAATAATCTAAGACCATACTAGTAGAGATTAGGGCCTTTCAGAGTTTAGCACATATAAACAAGAAATATATGTATACCGATAATGCAACTCCACATAATCATTTCTAGAACGTAACATTAATGGTAGAACTATAAAGAAAGGCAAGCAAAGGTAATTATACGCAGAAAAAGTGGATGATCAAATACCGGTAATTATACGATGTGCACTTGGATATAAAAAGAACAGAACTTTATAATCTACTCGTGAAGCAGGAACCCAAAGGCAGTCGAATCCCACTCCTACGACCATCTTCTCAGACACAAAAATAGACCTGTAAGATAAAGTAAGGAAGCATAAGCTGCATAGCCAAGGTTGAATAACTTGCAGAAAACGGACTTACAATATTACGATAGTAGCTGAATCTGAATGCAATAATCATGCACTATGGCTTCTTACATTTTGAAAAGGATATATACTGTAAGAGATATTTAGTTTACTTTTATAAAGATCTAATTTACTTTTTATGAGATACTCATATATACTTTCACCAAATTTCTAAGAACAATCCAACATCTAGTTCATAATAATCAAGCTCACTAATTAACAGATATAATTGCATGGCTCTCTGGCTACTAATCATCACCTTTACCTCAAAAGCAACAACACATTTAATCTATGGAGATTAAGCTAAGGAAGGTGTGAATCTGTGCATCGTAAGGCTCGATATCAACGACGATCTCTACAAACATACGCAGAGACTAGATATTTCTCATATACTATACAAATCATAGTTCAAAATACACAATCTACATTTTTCGATTTACTTTAAAATATAATTGGTCTACTTTAATTTGGTTTCTATCTACTTTTCAAAATGATAGAATAATAGGAAACATAAATAGTTTAATTTTAACACAGTATGTAAGCATGCAATTTAAGCTTAGATTCAGCTTCAGTGTAAAATAGCCAACAAGTGTGTAGAATTTGATCAAAAACTCACCAAAATTCACATAAATTTTAATGCCATTGTTTTCATATCTAGTTTTTAGGAGTATTGGCAATAAAATCAATCTCTAGAATCATTCATAACCTCATTAATTATTTTTAAAAAAAATAAAGTTTCTCTTACTGACAATAAATTTGACAATAAATCATTGATATTAAAATTGAAAATTTGTGATTTGGAAAAGAGATATTTTACCTTAGCAGTTGCTTCGATTATTTTAGACATTGTAGCTCTCATATTAGCAAACACCCTTCCTTTCCCTAGGCATAAATTGCATGACCACAATAGCAAAAAAGAGACAAACAAATACACTGGAAAATATTTTTAGCATCCCTTCCTATGTTATCTCAATACCCATAAGGCCATCAATCTATTTCCAAGTAGTATATCAGAAAAGGCTCCTACAAATGAAACTCAACATATGCAGATTTACTACTGAAAAGAAGTTTGAACAATATTTGTCCTACAAACTGATTTGGCCTTTCATCAAATTGGAGTTAGGAGGGAGTAAAACAGATTGAAAGAAAAATAAAGAATCATTTTAACATTCCAATAAAAAGAACACACCAAAATAATTGAACCGGATTAAAATTACCAGGACAAAGAAGAAGATATACTTACTGAGATGGAACATATGAACCGTTAAAAGGTCTACCAATATTAGAATATCCTTTGCTGTCATCATAAGCAATACCTCTGCCAATACCATATCCAAAACCTAAACCAACACCACATCCAACACCAACGCCTAAACCTAACTGCAGTCCAGGGATCCTAGGGCCAATGCCCACACTTGAGAAAACAAACAAAAACAGGAAAAAGGCAAAAAAAAAAAAAATAGATTTAACAGACTTATTAACTCCTAACAACCAATAGTAATGAAGGCTAACTTAAATCAAAAAAGCGTCTAATTGTATCATATAGATGCTATATCATGATATCAGCAAAGCGTAATCTTGCTATAGTGCTTTTCTTGTCACATAGCTGTACATGATTGTACAAATGTACACCTAATCAATATCACAGAACTCTTCATTTCACCTCAAGTATCCCTTACTGGAATTCTAGTACATCAACACGGGTACGAACAACCACAATAAAAAAAAAAGGAAGCGTCTTGCCTGTGCACTATGCCTTGGGCATTTATACAAATTATGAACAACTATGTCCCTAGGGCACTTCAACTTAAGTCATGAAACCATTAAAAACAAAAATTAATGATCGAACCCACTATCTATATACGAATAAATGTAGCTATAAAACTCAAATACACAAATTCGAGGATTAGTACACATCCAAGTATCTCACATGCTAAGCTTATAAAATTTAATTACCATGAAGAACTAAGTAAACACAACACTAGTTAAACACAATAATCAACCATGCATAGTTGCATGCACCATTCTCAATTAATCTGCTTGCAAACAATAGATTCAATATATATTCTACATAAATTATCCTGTTTCCAATTTTCCAGTCGATTTTATACCTGAATTCCTTCAAAATTTTCAATTCTCAAGCTCAAATCTAAATAATTCCAAATAATTCAATTCACAAAATTAATAAGAAATCCAACAAAATGTCCGAACGTCCGAGTAGTCTAGAAGATGTAGCTGAGCTAGCAGATAAAGCTACGGCAGCAAGCTCAAAGCAGCAACGATGGGGGTTCATTGATGACATAAATTAGAAGGAGAAGGAGAAGAACCCTAATAATATAACACGAAAAATCACACCTTCAGTATGATTTTAACACCACAAAACCACCACCAAAACTCCACAAAACCACTCTAATAACACCACAAAACCACCCCAAAACACCACAATACCAACGCGAAAACACCACAAAACCACCCGAAAATCCCCTAGCAACCCCGAAAACTAGTTCAATTGAGCCGAAAAACTCACCCACACCAAAATTCCTCATCAGATTTCAGACTAATCAAATTTTAACACAAACCCAGATAAATTAAAACTAATTTAGGTATACCTTAAACAGAGTTTCGAGCAATCAGCGACATGCAAGATGAATATTCGCAGTTACGGCGCTCCAGCAACCTTCCACCGCCTGAAGTTCCACTGCTCCAACAGTCAGCCTCCGCCACCGCCTTAACCACCTTCGTCTACTTCCTTTCTTTGTGAAACATGGAGATTTTATGAATCTGGGAAGATTTTGTGAACATTCAGCCTCGCGACCCTTTCTTTCACTTTGAATTTGGGAAAATTAGGGAGAAATTAAAGAACTATTTTCGGTCTACCTTCCTTAGCTTAGGTATGAGAATGAAGAACAAATTAAACCGTGTGCATATTTGGGGAAAAAGCGAAGGGGAGGGAAGTTAAAATAAAATAAATTTTATTTTGGCGCCGATAAAAAAGAAAGCCGTTGGATTAGCTTAAGGGACCGTTACATTAGGCAACACATGCTGCCGTTGTATTAGCCTACTTTATTAAGAAATGAAGTATAAGCCGTTATATTAGCCATGTCTAATACAAAGGTAACCAAATGGCCGTTGTATTAGCTCCTTTTTAACCGTTGCATTAGATAAAAAATGTAGTAGTGATGCAAAGTGAGGAAAAAGTTTGATCTTTGTTGCCCAAGTTTCGGGATGAAACTTCTTTTAAGGGGGGTAGACTGTAATACCCCGTATTTTTATACATATTTTAATTTAAAGAAGTATTTCTTAAAGTATTTAAATAATTCGAAATGAATTATTTATGGTTTTTATTAATTTAAAAAAAAATTATTTTAATTAAAAAATTTATTTTTAATTATTTAATAATCTTGAAAATATTTTATTTTATGATTTGGAAATATTGGGGCATATTATTTTATAAAAAGATAATTTTTAAAGTCAATGGTATTTAAGGAAAGTCAAAATACTAGTTTGACTAGGAAATGGATCATTAAGGGTAGTAAAGGAATTTTAAGTAGGAGGGATATGAGAGGGGGTATAAATACCCATCATATGCCTAAGGTGGAGTGCACCCAAAGGTAAACTCTCTCTCTCCTCTTATGTTCTTTTCCACTTAATTTTTCCCTTTCCCCTTTAATTTATTTGAGCTTCAATCACCACCCACACACCACCACACGCCGCCGGCAACCACCACACGCCGTCGGACCACTGTCGCAGCCACCAGTAGGCGCCGGCGACAGCAGTGGCACCACCAGCAGGCGCGGCAGCAGTCGGCTGTAGTGTCGGTGCTGCGGTTTTTCGAAAAAAAAAATTAATTATTCTTTTTATTTTAATTTAATCTAGCCTTAATCTAATTATTGTTTTTGGGTTTTGGGATGATTTTATGATGTTTAATAATAAGTATTTTGTATATAAATTTTCAGATTTGGTTTGAATTAAAAAGCCCCAATTTGAAAACCCTAGGTTCCTAAATTAATGTTTAAAGATGGAATTTGATTGTGTTTGATTAAAACTATGGAAATTAATGTTTTTGAACTAAATTACAGCAAGTTTATAAGTTTTAATAATGCTGGAATTTTTATATATAACCTATAATTATGTTTCTTGAAAGGATTTATAATTACCCATTAATTGGGAATAAAAGTAAGGGTTTTTAATTAAATTTCTGCTTGTTTTAGAGGGTTTATGAGTGAGTTAAGACTGTATATATATTGCTGGAAATTTGTGTGGAAGAGGTATTAATACTTCTTTGTAATTTTGGTTTGTAGGAGACTTCAAATGAGTGATTTTATTTAGTCGTGGCGATTTTGAGATCATCAAGGTACATTCACGTACTTAGTAGTTATTTGAATGTGTAGAAGCATGCTAGGCTTTGTTTAATTAATTTTAAGTAGTATCATGATAGGTGTTGGTTGAAATTTGTTGATTGGATTGATGATTTGTGATGTATGAATTATTTATGAAGAATTGGTGATTGGAATTAATTATGTTGGCATGTTGGTTATGAACAACACTTTTATTATTAGCATGTTAGAGAGCATGTTTAATTAAACTAAATGTTTAATTTGGTTTGGAATACAAAAAGGGAATTTTATTATGCTTCATAAATTTATATTGATGCTTTAAGAATGAGAATTGAGCTAACAAGTGTCTTAGTACACGGGAATAAATTATTTTTCGGTGCCTAAGTGCACTAAAAGTGTTTCTAACACCGAGGGATAGGATTTGCGACGCATTATTCGTTTAAGGTGTCTTTGACACCGAGGTAGATTAAAAAAGGGTTCAACAATTAAATTTATGTGGTCACTAATTATTCAAAAATTAAATTGGTATGTTTGGTTGCTGGAATGGAGTATAATGTTTGATTGTGCTATGGTTTGAGAGTCATCACCAAGTATAATAATATGTAAACAACGTAAAGTGAAAGAGATTACACACCAAAACTCTTGGAACGTATATACCTTGAGTATGAACATATGGGGGGAGTTATAGGGTTTTATATTTAACCATGACTTCTACTGGGAGTATAGGACGCTGTATTTTCCTTTTCATTTATCTTATGCGCAGGACATCCAGTCACTTCATGTGACATTTGCCTACCCGGTTAGCTCCCGGTGTAGTTTACCTCAATTTATTTGAGGCAGGGATTTGGTTGGAAACCCGTTTGATGTGTAATCAAAATTAAATGAACATTGGTATTTGTCTAGTTAGGTGTTGAATGTTTTGTATGTTTGTAAACAGGTGCAACACGGTAAGTTGTGTGATGATAGGATGAAAGCATGTTAGTGTGTTTTTATTACGCTTATGTACTCAGCATTGCTGATTGTGTGTTTGTATGTTTGTTTGGCCTTGTCTTTATTTTGGCCCTACGACGACCCATTTCTAATGGCGAGTAGTGGGGACAAGTAGAGAGAAGCTTTTCAGGTGGTGAAGCATATTCATGAAGGACATGAGTGAACAGCGAATCATGCTTAGTTCTCATAGGAATATGATGTGTTTTATTTGCTTTGAATATTATTTCTTTTATTATGCTCATGATACTAACGCAAAGGTTTTCAGTATTGTTTGGTTTTATGGGCCTACAATGGTTCCAAGTTTTAGGTTGACTTAGTTTGACTTTTACTTTCGTTTGGTTTGACTTTTTAATTTGACTTGTTTTTAAATGGTTTTAAAGAGAGTCTTCCGCTGTGTGTGTCTTTGATATTTGCCTTAGCCGTTTTCACAGTGGCGACAGTGTCTTAGATTTTCCTATTTTGTATTTTTTAAAAAGGCAAAATAGGTATTTTAAAGGAAAGGAATATCTAGGGTGTTACAACGGGCGATGCCTAGATGGTTAATAAAAGTTTGGGATAAACTTTTTGGATTGAATGTTAAATACGATCATATATTCCCTTTTGATAATGCAGGATATTTAGACATACTGAGTTGAAATATATTTAATTGAACTGAAATTATTTTTACTGAAATAAAAGTATGTTTACCAAAACAAAAAATATTTTTCATGATTAAAACTTATTTTCACTAATTCTATATTATTTTTGTAAATGAATTAAATATATTATAAGTGGATCTTATTTTAAAGAACTTTTTAAACCAAATTTATGATGGAAATAATACCGAATTAGAAGGTATTTATTAAAAGTTATGATTAATTTGGTATATATGAAATATTAGAAGTATATTGATAATAAAACTCCATACAACTTTTTTATCTTTAAAAATCTATATATCTAAACTTTAGCATCATATGTGTCACAATAATACCTATTTGTCGCCTACGTGGCGTGACACTTGGCGAAAACCTGGAATGCCAAGTGTCGCTGTCTCGTGGCCTGGCTGCGAGACTGGCTTTATTTATTAGTGATATGATATGATATTAGATATTAGATTATTTATTAAAAGGATTATATAATGAGTACCTTTGATTCTTAACATTTCGTTATACTCTGTTGCTTTGTTGAACAATTATAGAATATCAGGCCAAATCATCAGTTTTAGAGAAATCAGAGGTCAACAAGTTCATCCCCAATGTTCTATGGAAGTTGTCCAAAGGCTCAAGATTAGGAGTAGATTTAAGGGTGAGTTTAATTCACCTAGTTTTCACATTTAACTTAACTGAACTTATTTGACTTTATTAAAACTTATTTCAGTTGTAATTTAAACATAGTTAACTTATCTGAATTTAACTGAATTTATTTGAATTTATTAAACCTGAAATAAGTGAAAATAGTACAGAATTTAACAAATTTAAGATGAAAATTGTTGATAAACTAATTGTTGAAATCAATGATAAATAAACAATTAGAAATTTCCTGGATAGAAAATCTCAAACTTACAGTCGCACTGCAGAACAGAATTCACTACCTTGGGAGTGAAATACGTCACCACTAGTACAAGTTTCATAGTGACGCATGCCCCCTAAGTTTAACGCAACTTTTCTTGTAATCCGTGCACCCGAACTCAAAGGATGGAATTTCTAAAATAATTATTCATATCTTAAAAGGTGGGTTTTTGTCTGTGTATAGGGTTTTAGAATGATGAATAATAAAAAATAAAGAGAAGATAAATATGTATAAGTATTGAAAAAGAAGCTCAAAAGCCCAAAAACAACTGCCTCGAATTAGTGGCAGATCTTGGAACATTTTCTATTGGGGGCCAAAAATTTTAACATGTTAAATTATGCAATACAACAACTCACAAATATTAAATAAACTAGGTTAGTACCCGTGCCATGCACGATAATTTTCAATAACAAATATAATTAGTTTATAAACAAATAAAAAATCTTAATATATATTGACAAATTTTGATCAAAATAAAGGATTACGAATGATAAATTAGATATAAAATGATGTAGAAAATGATCAACACTATGTTAAGAATGTTTTTATTATATATAGCTATATAAATAAGGAAATATACACTTTAATAATCCCAACTATGGCCGATTTACTTTTAATAAGCCCAACTAAGGTTTATTATCTAATAATCCTAACTATTGGGTATGTTTTCCAAGAGTAGTCCCAGCTAGGGGTGTACACCGGTCCAAAACCGGACCGGACCTGGACCGGACCTGTTTGGACCGGGGACCTGAATTGGGTAATTATGAGGACCGGGGACCAGACCTGAATTAACAGGTCCGGTTCCGGGCTAGACCTGAAAAATCAGGTCCGGTCCAGGTTTGGACCTGAATGGACCTGTTTTGTGATTTTTTTCGTTTTTTTTTATTTTTTTTAATAAAAAACTTGTTGGACCTGCATATGGACCTGCGTATGGACCTGTTTTGTGATTTTTAGACCTGTTGCATAATTAAATAATTACATACAAACCAAAATTATTAATCACAAAAGTACAAAACTACATAAAGTCTATAAAAGTATAA